TCATGTGTTGATTTCTGCTATGGCACCACCATAAATTTGTTCTCCTAATTGTCTATGTTCCATTTTTGCGTTTCCAAAATGGACCATCCTTCCAGTCCAAGATTCAAATCCGGGTTTGGTGATTATCCCTCCATCATATTGAGTTTATGGGGATTTTCTAGACACTGGGGTGGATGGGAAAGTAGAAAAATAAGCCGTTAATTCGACGGTCAACCCTTAAAAAATAGAGACAGTCAAGTTATTGAGTAAAATGTAGGAGATGAGTACGTTGCAGGTGTCAACCTTTAAAGAATAGGATTGACAGTTTTACAAAAAAAAAAAAAAAAAAAAAAGCTGGTAATTAAGTAATAAATCTTATTTTCGTATTTAAATTATTCAAATCAATTTTTATATTAAAATGTTACTTTAAATATATCTTAATTTCCCATCCAAAACTTTTATTAAAAGGTTATAATTAAAATAAAATAAAATAAATCCTTTTAAAAATTTTATTAATGTATATATTTAAGAAAATGAGTGTACAAAAATAATTTTTATGTGTAAATAGAAATAGTCTCACCCTTAAAAAAAATAATAATAATAATGAACAATCAAATTATCGGAAAGCGTACCTCAATGCTAGCTGTGTAATCATATAAAACACTAGCTTCAAATCCTGCTGCAACCAAAGCAAATGTGATTTTCTAATTTATTGCCCCTTCTCTTTTTGTTTTTTTCCTTTTGTCAATAATAAGATAATAATTGTCGATAGACAGCCTAAGGATGATGATGTTCAAAAGAATCCATGCTAAATGACACCGAGGGGCGTTTGGTTGAGGGTCATCTGGGATTATTAAGGTTAAGTTATCTTATATTACTTAACTACCATATTTGATTATTAAGTAATATAAGATATCGATAATCTTTAAATACTAATAGTGGTTATTATTGGTAATATTGGAGGTAATCTAATTACTTCTATTTTTTTAGGTATTCTAAGATTATTAGGGTTATCTTTTTTTTGTTACAATTATATCATTTATTAATAAAATTTTATGACAATAATGCTCTTATTTTTAAATTTATTTACATAAATATAGCTTTTACTATTTCACCCCAATTAATTGACTTTTTGGACAAAATTACCCTTGAATTCAAAACAAATTATAGCCCACCTAAGCCACCACCCCCACCCACTTGCCGCTAGAACGGCACACGAAAGGCCAAAAATGGTTTTTGTGTAGATCGTGCCAGATCTAGCCGTCAACGACCAAATCCATCAATCTGGTCGTCAACAGCCAGATTAGATCTGGTCATCGATCTAGCCGTCGACGGCCAGATCTGTCATGTCTGGCCATTTTCGGCCAGATCTCTGGCTAGAAATGGTCATATGGCACACAAAGGCCATTTCTTACCTTCCGTGCGTTGTTAAGTTGCCGGCTGCCTGTAGTGGTTGGGTTGGTGGGGGTGCTTTGTTGATTTTTCAAACTTTTATTATGAGGTTGTTTTTGCTAAGTTTTTAAATGCAGGGGGGTTATAATAATCCAAATAATAATCAATATTAAAAAATAATATAATAATAATATTTAATTAGAGGACAATTCAGTAATTTAAATAACATACTCACCAATTTATTCCTCCCAACAAATTAATATAACATACCCACTAATTAACCAAACACATTTTCCTAAAGATTCCTAGTAATATTCAAGGTAATCTAATTTTTTAGTAATATAACATTCTCAGTAATCCAATATTTCATGAACCAAAGACCCCCCCTCCCCCCTAGTAATCTAACATTCTCAGTAATCCAATATTTCATTAATAATAGGTAATATATTTAAGTTCTTATCTATATATAGAGAGAAAAATTAACTTAACAAATTACCTTATAAGTGCGTTATAACAAATGATTAATTGATTATTATCGACTTTGTTTGCTTTGATAACTGAAAATCAGTTGTAATTTGACAAAACCAGAAATTTGTTAACAAAAAAGGGCACAAAAAAAAAAAAAAAAAAAAAACCCATAAGTCGATTTCAATGAACAATTTACAACCAAATAAGACTTTTACGCCTAAATCTAGGTATACCATATTACTCTCTCATATTTAAATCCAGTCTTTTGCAATTCAATGTCATAAATTGCTCTCCTTCATGGTAAAGTACTTTTAGTTTGAATAATCCTGTGTGGGTATATATTATATAAGTACCTTTAGTTTGAATAATCTGTGGTGTTATATATATATAAAGTACCTTTAGTTTGAATAATCCTGTGGTGTGGATATATATATAATAGAGAGAGAGAGAGTAAAATCAGTACATATACTTCAACTAATCATTATATATATTTATTTTCTTATATTATAATATATATATATATAGAGTAAAATTTAGTTTACATGTACTTCAACATCTATATTATTCATTTTCACAGGTTTATCTCATCAACAAGAACTCCATTTTTTGGAAGGTATGTAATTAACTTGGAAACATTTTATTATCTTAGGGTTCTGGCGTACATTATTGCATTATTATACCTACACTAATATTTATTTGTTTTTATTTGAAGAGGGCTTTTAATATTTTAGTAACTTAATTTATTTTCCCGCAACCTAAAGTACGTACCATGTAACCCACCCCCTCATATATGAACTATTAATTTCTCCAACCTTGATGAAAACAATATTTTATCTCATGAATATCTCTTGATACATCAATTGATCTCTAACTTGACAGTGTCATTTAACATGATTCTTTTAGACATCCTAACATGCTTAGGCTGTTAATCAATCATTATTATGTTATTACTAACAGAGAAAAAAAATAAGGAGAAGTAAACTAAAAAAATCACATTAATTTGTTTCGGTTGCAGAATCTGAAGCTAGTATTTTATATGATTACACAGCTAACATAGAGGTACGCTTTCCTATAATTTAATTGTTCATTATTTTTTATTTTTTAAGGGTGATACTATTTTTACATAAAATACATATTTTGTACACTCATTTATTAATTATATACATTATCAAAAAAAAAAAAAATTAAGATTTATATAATATAATACTTGAAATGTTGAAGAGATAACTACCTCTGGGTGGCCGAGTAGTTCGATAGGGACTCTTGGGTGCACTACTCAAAAAGTTTTAAGCTCGAGTCTCTCATCGGTTGCTAATAAGGTTAGCCACTAGAGCTCTTCCCCGGCTGTTCCTAGATCCTAGGAGATTAGTTGAGATGCACGTAAATTAGCCCAGACATCCCGGTCGAAAAAAAAAATGTTGAAGAGATACAAGAAGGATTTCCTCCTAGCCAGGCATATAGCTACATACAAACATGTGGGTTCGATTCTTTATGTTTTATGAAATTTACAATTTTGACTCCACTTAAATTCATATTGAATCTATTCAAACTTTGAAAAAAATTTAAAAAAAAAAAAAAACTTTATATTTTATGATATTTACAATTTTAACCCCATTTAAATTCATATTAATCCCACTAGATTTTACTGTAAAATTATCAACTAAAATGTTTTGAACACGTTTACTAAAAATTCTAACTACGTTTTCTCCTAGCAGAAGGACCTGAAAGTGTATTAAAAAATTTGCGGATCATTTGAAGATATTAATAACATTTCATTTTTATTGTTCTTTTCTGGTTGGGCTATACTCGGTATCTCAACTACAATGTACGTATAATAATTAAATATTTATGACCCAATCTGCAAGGAGATGTAAATAATGCATACACGTAAAATATTTGTACTTTTTTTTTTTAGTTCGACACAAACAATAAGAGGTTTCTGAAGACTTGGTTGTATTTGTCGCTTCATTAATATAAGGGCGAACGACTTGTATATACCCAAAGTTTACTGTAATGACAAGTTGGTACCCAAAAGGTTTTGAAACGACAAATAGGTACCTTCCGTCATATTCTGTTAGTGATTTTTGTTTATTAATAGTGAAAAGACTAAAATGCCCTTTAAAGTTTCAATTTTTGTTTTTTACAAATTTAAAAATTTCTAAAAAACCCCCTAGGTTTGCTAATTTAATTAAACACCCCCATATATAAAAAGTTTGTTAAATGACAAAAACACCCCCCACCCCAATGCCAGATTCCGGCCACCGTCGCCGGAATCTGGCCGGAAAACTGCATTACGACACAGATCCCTATCGGATCTGTGTCGTAAAGTGCCGATGTGGCCTTTTCAGGCCAGATCCGTGGCTGATCTGGCCGGAAAAGGCCAGATCTACTGCCAGATCTGGCCGTCGACACCGCAGATGGAGTTTTGCGGCGTCGACGGCCAGATCTAGCCGTAGATCTGGCCTTTTCCGGCCAGATCAGCCACGGATCTGGCCGGAAAAGGCCAGATCGACGCGTTACGACACAGATCCGACGGGTCTGTGTCGTAACGCAACTTTCCGGCCAGATTCCGGCGGTGGTGGCCGGAATCTGGCACTTGCCGGTGGGGGGTGTTTTTGTTATTTTATAAAACTTTTATATATTGGGGTATTTAGTGAAATTTGTAAACTTAGGGGGTTTTTTGAAATTTTTAAATTTATAAAAAACTAAAATTCAAACTTTGAAGGGTATTTTAGTCTTTTCACTATTAATAAACAGCAATAAACAGAAATCACTAACAGAACATGACGGAAAGTACTTATTTGTCATTTCAAAACCTTTTGGGTACCAACTTGTCGTTACGATAAATCTTGGGTATGTATAAGTCGTTCTCCCTTACTATAATACTAAAAGTAAAACCGACCCAAGGAAAACACATTATTAAAGATATATAGCTGTTTATCTCCACATATGCCACAACTCGTTGTCTTGCATTGTTTTCCACTAATTTCAAATCTCCAATTTCCTAATTAATCCCAACATACTAAAGTAAAACCAAGTAAATTTATTCGGATTTTAGAAACTGGGTTTACTTTATTATTATTATTTTTGAACCTTACATTTTTTTTATCCATATTTGAGCACTACTTTCAACAGTAATGTATAACTCCAAATATGTTTCACGAGACAGGAAGGGAACCTGTGATTCTGAGTGATCCTGGGTTGTCTCAGGTTCACATGTTTATCAATATTTGCTTCGTAGTTGCCTTCTTTACAGGGTTCAAATTCTTTCATAATTATATTACTTTTTACTTTTAGTTTTGTATGTAAAATGTTCCTCTTCGTTCATTTGGATTTAGTTTCGGATCCCTAAGTCAAAACATCTATTCAGAGAAAGCTTGATCGTGGTGTGAAAGATGAAGACAATTGCTGAAACTTGTATCTTAATGCTTTCCTGCATTTTGGTTTATTCAGGTATGTTTATTCCGATACATGCTGTTTATAAGAAAACGTTATTCATATATATATGGACTGAAAAAACAGTCAACTATATGCATGAGAAAATATGAAGTCTATAGCAGCAAAATTATTTGAACTGTAGAGTCAAGAGTTCTTGCTTATGAAAATTTCTTGTTCCGGTATTATTATACTAACCCATTTCTTGCAGTATATAAAGTTTTTCTTGTGTTTTTTTTTTTTTTTTTTTTCCTTTTATCTTATGCAGGGGATAGGGTCCATGCTTTGTCATATGATTACTCTGCTACAACAGAGGCAAGAAAAAGATTTCTTGGTGTTTTATATATTTCTTACTAAAACTCAAAGATAGTGCATCCTTTCCCATAAATATGATTTTCCAAATGTGCTTTTTATATTCTTCTTTACCCAATTCACACTTGGCTGTCAAATCCTACAGATAGAAACATTTCCAGCCTTTTCACAATTCACTTAATAAACAAATAGAAATTAATAAGATTCAAAGCATATTATAGTAATTTCAGAATTAGTGCTAATATTTAAAGTTCTAGAAAACTTTCCGATTTATGACAACTTCCTGAAAAATTAACCTTTCATTGTGCAACATCTATGAAGCAGTGCTTGGCAGATCCCCAAAGAACTCATTTTGGAGGAGGAATCATAGTCAATCCAGAGTTTAATCAGGGAACAAAAGGGTGGACTGTATTCGGACAAGGAGCCATCAAAGAAGGAACATCGGAAAGAGGCAATAAGTTTATTATGGCTTGCAGTAGAACACAATCTCTGGACAGTTTCTCCCAGAAGGTTCAACTTGAGAAAGGAAAACTATATAGTTTTTCCGGTAAGTCTTTCTCATTCGGTCAACAAGAAACTGTTGTTAATTTGTAAGATATCAACTAATGGACTTCAAATCAATTTTCAGCTTGGGTTCAAATCAGTGAAGGAAGTGAGACTGTTCTTGCTGTATTTGAGACTCCTGATGGTAAACTAATACATGGTGGTAAAGTTGTAGCTAAGCATGGTTGCTGGTCTTTGCTCAAAGGTGGCCTAGTTGCCAATTTCACAGGCCTTGTGCAGATTCTTCTTGAGGTAATGTGCTTCATAAATTTTATCCATTTTTTCTTCAAATCCGAACTTACAGAAGTTTTCTTCTCCTAAATGCTGAGCAAGAATACGAAAGTGGAAATATGGGCTGACAATGTCTCATTACAGTCATTCACTGAGGAGCAATGGCGATTGCACCAAGACAAAAGCATTGAAAAGGTAACAACATAGCATCTATAAAACATCAATAGAGCTCACCTAGAATTCCTGTTTGAACTTGAACGCCGCAGGTGCGAAAGCGCAAGGTAAGATTCCAGTTGATTTATGCCAACAAAACTTCAATGGAAGGTGCTATTGTCTCCATCAAGCAAATCAAGTCAGGCTTTCCATTTGGATGCGGAATGAATCACTATATCCTCAAAGACACGGATTACCGGAAATGGTTCCTCTCAAGATTCAAGTTCACCACTTTCACAAATGAAATGAAATGGTATAGCACAGAGATAAAACAAGGACAAGAAAACTATACAATTGCTGATGCTATGGTAAAATTCGCCAAACAGAATGGCATTTCTATAAGAGCTCACAACATTTTCTGGGACAATCCAAAGAAGCAGCCTCAATGGGTTAAGACTCTTTCTCCTGGGGAGTTACGAAAAGCAGCGGCGAAAAGAATGAATTCGGTGACTTCAAGATATGCAGGAAAGCTAATTGCGTGGGATGTAGTGAATGAGAATCTGCATTTCAGATTCTTTGAGGATAAACTCGGTGAAAACGCTTCAGCAGAATTCTACAAAAAAGCTTACCAGCTTGATCCAAACACAACAATGTTCATGAATGAATATAACACCATTGAGTCTGCTGGAGATGAGAAAGCAAATGCATTCCAATACAAAAAGAAACTCAAGGAGATTTTATCATATCCAGGAAATTCTGCAGTGTCATTAGGAATTGGATTGCAAGGTCATTTTGATTATGAACAACCAAACATTGCTTACATGAGATCTTCCTTAGACATTCTCGGATCAATGAAATTGCCCATATGGCTTACAGAAGTAGATGTGAAAGCCGGCCCCAATCAGGTATCTGTAAAAATGAAAGCATAGTTTACATTTCTTTCCAATTAATGTGAAATTATCAATTCTGAAATTACTTTGCTTGGCAGCCAAAATACTTGGAGGAGGTACTCAGGGAGGCTTATTCTCATCCTGCAGTTCAAGGGATTATCACATTTGCAGGCCCAAAAAGTGCTGGTTTTAATGAAATGCCTCTAGTCGACAATGACTACAAGAATACAGCAGCTGGAGATGTTGTGGACAAGCTGCTTGCAGAATGGAAATCCAGCACTCTGGAAATTGTTGCGAGTAGTACAGGATTCTCTGAACTTTCATTGTTTCATGGAGATTACAGTGTAACTGTTAAAAACCCGGTTACCAATACATTAACTTCTGTCAATTTTAAGGTGACAAATGACCTTCCGCAAGGAACATTCCAAGTTCAGATTGATCTTTGATTCCTCAATAATTTTGATCTCACATTCTCGCATAACTGCTGTCAATTTTAAGGTGATTTTTATTAGATAATAATATTGTATATTGTGTAGAGGGCATTGTTGTAATCTACTTATGTGTTTTAGTTTGTTTATAGGTTACTATTCTTGTCTTATAACCATTTAATGAAGCTTCTTTGTGATCATTATTGAACTCCAATACACAAGCTGCGGATCTGCCGATTTCTCAATTTTAATATAATACTTTGTAGCATTGTTTTAAAACCCGACTCGTTGTGAGACTCGGCAAGGTGACTAGGTTATGGGTCAACCGGTCCAACCGGTCAGAATATTTTTTAAAAATTACAAATTAGTCCTTTCAATTTAAGTATATTAAAATACCCCTAAAATTTATAAAGTAGTCCTAAAATTTTAATTTATTTCAAAAATCCCCAAAAATTATTATTAGTCACTAAAGTTAGCAATATGGCAAAGAAACCCTAATACTACAAATTAGTCCTTATAGGTTTGAAATATAGCAGAAACCCCCTGGAACCTGAACAAGATCGGAGAGGCTGTCGGTTCCATGTTGGATCGGTCCAACTGACCAATCTAGTTCAGGTTTTAAAATAGTGCTTTGTAGGCGTCTTTGGTTTGTAAGAAAACACTCAAGACAACTATAACTAAGAGCATTTATATGCCTAAATATGCATCTTCTTCTCAAAAATTAAAACCTTGAATCTTTTCAATTCTGTATAATACATAATTTAACTAAACGTATTTAAAATATTCAAAAGGTTTCAGTTACAAATCAAATGCTCAATGCTTGTTGTCTTTAACATGATCAACCCAAAAAAAACGAAGACATTGGTTGGCTCCTAAAGTTATAGAAGTATATAGACAACATGCTTTAATAGGTTAGTTTTTTCTGGACAACTAAGCCAATGAGTGGCATTAGTCCATGTTCAAAAAGAATTTGATGGGGTCTATTTTACTCAATTTTTCCCTTTCTTCATCTTTTTTCTAAAATGCTCCTGATTCCACTCTCTAATTAGAAACACTTTTAACTTCTGCTATACTTAAAAACCTAAAAGACACACATAATGTTATGCTAAAGTCTTAAAACAAATGATCTATCCAATTCAGCACATAATAACGCTTAGGCAAAGTGTTACAAGCAATTTAGAACCAAAAGACATTCCCTGTTTCACTCTTTTCAATCATTTTTCTGTCATCTTATTTGGATTAAAAAACATAATATATGTTTGTTTACTTATTGAGATCAATGTTTTGAAAATCAATCTGAATCAAATAAGATTTTTTCTATTGAAAATGAAAAATGGGTGTGACTTGTTTTCTATTACCCTATTCTATCATTTTTCCAACTCTATTCAACTAAAAACAATTGTATTTCACAATAACAATAAAATTTTATAAAATTACAAAAACACCCCCACCCACTCAAGCCACTGTTAGAGATGGTAATGGGTCCGATATTTTCAGGTACCGGCCCATCCTATCCCGAAAAGTTCGGGCTTTACCCAGTGTTCTTGGGCCTGGGCTTGGGCCTAATTTTAGGGCCCAACCTCGGGTACGGGCTGGACCTAGGTATGTCTTCAGGCCCGACCCAACAATTTCAGTATTAATTTTACTAAATTACCCTTATACTATATATTTAATTACAAGATTATCCTACATATATATACCCATTTTTCCCAAACCTAATCTCCTCTCATTTGGTAAGTATTCAAAAATAAATCAATATTTAAAAACTGTTTCTAGAATTAAAAATATAAACAAAAATAAAATTCACATTATAAAAATGAGCGGGCTTGGGCCGGGCCTGAGGTTACAAAAAGCCGTCGAGCCGAGCTTGGGCTTTACCTATCATACCGGTGATAGGGTCGGGTCGGGCTTGAGCCTTTGTCATGAGGTCGGGCTTGGGTCTGGACCAAAGGGTACCTGGTCCTGGCCCAGCCCATTGCCATCACTAGCCACTATCAGTTGCCAGCAACCAGCATTGATCACCGTCATCAGAACGATACACGACCAACTAGATTTGGCCGATCATGCGTCGATCTAGCCATTTTTGGCCAGATCTAGACAGATTTTGGCCGTTAACGACGGCTAGATTCTGGACATAGATCTAGTCATTTTCAACCAGATCCAAAGTGGATTTGGCCAGAAAAGGCCAGATTGGCACCTAACGATTGTCGGTTGCCATCTAGCTATGGTGGCCGGTTGTCGGCAATTTTTTGGTGGATGGAAGTGTTTTTGTTAATTTATAAACTTTAATTGTAGGGGTGTTTAGCTAAATTAAAAAATGTAAGGAGTTAAAAAATAATCTAAATATTTTCGTAAAATGTTTTCCAAAAATGTACATTTTATGAAAATATTTTCCAAAAATGTACCAAACAACTATTTTAATTTTTTTCAACTTAAATATAATTTTCAGATATTATACCAAACACATTCTCATAATCCTATCCTATTTGATTTAATCATATCATATCCTATTCAGATACTTTTTCTCAGAATAACAGTTTTTCAAATAACCTCCCAAATAGGCCCATTATTTTTGTTTGTCTCCCTTTGAAATGCCGACAATTAGGCTGGATACTATTACAACGAATTCCAGAGGAGTTGTTTATCACTGTTGACTTGAGCAGTTCTTTCTAAGACAAGATCAAAATAAAGCAATAGGACTTGGGAAAGTGGCAATTTTTACCTTTGATTTCTAATGAAAATCAGTTATGGGAAGAAATTTTTGAAATGTGGAGATATTATGCTTGGGTTTTGTGAATTTGGATGTTTAAATTAGGATAGGCGTTTGCCTCGTCCCACGAGGATTCGACCCGAATGGGGTGGGGAATCCCCCAAAATATCGAGGATAGGGCCGAGGATAGTCCTCAAAAAAATCTCCGCCCCCGTGGACAGGCCGAGGTAGGGGGTTGTACAATCCCCGACCGGCCCCTGCTCGTGAACCCCGCCCCCGTGGAGCCCCGACTTCGTTTATTGAAAAAAAAAATTTCTTCGAGATTGTATATAAAGTTAGAGTTTAAATAATTTAAACGAGGAAGTCTAATAATTAAATATATGTATCTAAATTTATAATATTTACTTTTATAATACTTTCTAATATTTGCATTAAATTTATAGAAAAAATAATTTAAACGAGGGAGTCTAATAATTGAATATATGTATTATTACTTTGTGAATTTCACAAAATAATAATACATGACCCAAAAATAAATTTGATTAGATTATTACAATTTACCAAGTCAATATAAGAATATACACAATTGCTTAACGACTTGCAAATTATACAAATTTAATTATCCTTGTAATTAATTAATTGATCAATTAAATATGATATTAAACTTAATCAATGTTGGGAACTTGAGATAATGAGATTTGTCCATTTCACAAATGGACTAATTTTATTAGTTGTAGTAGAGATCGTGTTTTATGAATTAATTAATTAATTGACCTAATAAATTATATTAAGGCTGAATTTAGTTATATTAATTTTGTGAAAAAAGTCATTAATTAACAAGGCTAACTAAGCCTAAGACTCCATACAATTGAATAATTAATCAATTTACCTAATAAATTATGTTAAGATTAGATATAGATATATTTATTTTATGAAAAATTAATTAATTAACAAGGTTGATTAAGCCTAATCGGCTAAGACTCCATACAATTAAATAAATAATCAATTTACCTAGTAAATTATGTTAAGATTGAATTTAGTTATATTAATTTTATAAAAAATTAATTAATTAACAAGGCTAACTAAACCTAAGCCTCCATACAAAGCCCCGTTCATCGGGCCAAGCCAAGGACCGTCATGACAGTTGTCTACACCAACGAGGACGATCATGAGAGTCAATATTGGGGACGAGGAATGTGGTCCTCGACCGCACTCATCCCTGGTTTAGATAGGCTACGAAACTGTTGCTTTTGTGAATAGTTAAAAAGTTTATAACATTGGAGGCATTTCGTTCTTTTCCACTCATTATGCACTATGATTCAAGACAAAATTTCTTATTGTGTTCGAGGGGTACTTCTGGGATTTCTCACTTTACAACTGTTAGGTGCCCAAAGTTATAATGGGGTATCTTTTGTTATTTCCAAAAACTCAGCAGGATTTTGGTCACCAGCTTAAACCTCAAGGGGGTGCCATTAAAACCCCAAATATTTTCTTAAAACAATTTCAACCCTGTAATGTAGTATTTGACTATTTGTAATTAATTACACATCAACACATAGAATAATCACCCTTAACTATATAAAAGGAAGAATAATACGGTAGACATTGTCACACTCTAAGAGTTTCACACCTAAAAGACTAACCTGCTAGGTAGAGGGACTCCCACCCTTATAAACCTAAGACCCCCACCCCATTTCCCTTTCGATGTGAAATCTATGACACTAGCTTGTGATCATTTTCCATTCCAAAAGAAAGTAAAGGACTCTCACTCTTTTGCTCAAATTTTATCTCATTTCATGTAAATTTCAACTAATTATATTAAAAAATTTGAAGATGCTAGTTAAATTTTACTGTAATTTGATTAGATAGGTTCGGTGTAGCTGAATTTTATAATGCATTTAACATCTAGTAGCAAAATGGTCTTCATTTGGCGACGGAGTTAGGATTTCGTTAAATTTTGTGAAATTGTGCTTGTTTGGAATTTGGATATGGATTTATTGTGTTTTTAGTGAAGATGGAGAGAACTAATTGTTTGATTGCGAATAAATGCTTAGGAAATGTAGGTAGGTTTTTTCTTCTTAAAAAGTTTGATTTTGAAGATATTTTTAAGAAGTTACTGTGTGTGTAGAATAAACTAGTTGAATTTTAGGGAGTGTTTTGGAGAACTTATTTCGAAAACCGCTTATTTCAAAAAGTGCTGCTACATTTTTTAGCCCAACCCAACAGTAATTTCAAAAACTGATTTTCTTGTGTCAGTTTGTATTTAGTATTGTTCCCTGCAATGTTGTTTGAATTATTTCTTAATTAACTATTTGATTATTTTCTAATTAACTATTTGTAGTTCTTGATATAAGCCAGATGGACTACAGTACTGAGGAGTCAGATATTAGTGAT